ATCCATGAGAAATACTTCAGGGCCACTTGCTTATGAGTCGACTATAATAAGGAAACTTCTGCCGTTGATCGGTCCCGCAAAGTCAACATGGATGCAACACCATGGCTTAGAAGCTTTCGGCCATGAACCGAGTTCCGATTTTTTGTGGCGCTTTCAACACATTGGCGCATTTTGCAACGTTTAGCTATTTCTTGTAGTTATTTGTTCATAAAGCGCCAGTAGACATAACTGCAGGCCACACGTCTTCATACGATTGATTCCAGGATGCCCGGTTTGGAACTGCCGAATAAGGCGCTCTCTTCTGCAGTGCCTTGGGGATGACCACTCTTTCCGACAAATTAGTAGCAGCCGTTTACGGCAGAGAGCGAGTGTCCTCCTCTGGACGTACTGTTGCAACTCGGCAGATGAATATGAAGGTGGCCAACTTGTTTTGTGGAATTGTGTGACCTTTTCGAGTATTGGGTCCCGAAGCGTTTCGGATCGTACAGCTTCTGCGGTAACTGGTAGACCATGTAAGGCATCAGTTACCAGATAGTTTACGTCAGGTTCGATCTCGACCGAGGCAATGATTGTGTCCTCATGTGCTTGTTGATGGCGTGGCAGTGCTTCCGTTTAGCCAATGGAAATTGTCGACTGGTAGTGGATCTCGAAATCATACCCCATTAGGGTAAGAGCCCAACGTTGTAGCCGGTTGGTTGTGTAGGCCGGGATGCCCTTTCTCAAACCAAAGATAGCCAGCAAGGGCTTGTGATCGGTCAGAAGCTTGAAGCGGCGGTGGTATAGCATTTTGTGGAATTTCTCGACCGCGTACACGATGGCCAGTGCTTGTTTCTCGATCTGGCTGTAATTCCTCTCAGCCTTCCTAAGTGTTCTGGCGGCATAGGCGATTGCTTTCTCAGATCCATCGGTGCACGTGTGTGCAATTAATGCGCCAATCCCATGGCTTGATGCATCTGTGATTAGGACGATCTCTTTGGTGGGATCAAAATGAGTCAGAAGCAAGTTTAAGGACAGCAGTGTCTTGACCCGTTCCAAGGCATTCTGATGTCCAGTTCCAAGGTTTGCCTTTGGCTAGTAGCTTGTTTAACGGGGCACGCAGGCGGTGCATCTCAGGCAAGAATGCGCTGTAGTGGCTGATGAGCCCACAAAAGGAACGCAAGGACTGTAGATCTGTTGATGGATGCATTTTTATAATGGCTTCTACGTTTGACAAATGTGATGTTTGAACGGACAAAAGCGCGCGAAATGCCATTCGTCGCATGACCAGCATGGTGTGGGCGGTTTGTTCGTAGACCTCTTGTAGGGTTTGCTTGGGTTGGCAGTCCTGGCCTTTTCCACGAAGTGCACGGTATGCGGTGGTGCGAGACCATTCCGTTCGACCATGGCGGTGTCGTGTTTTAGAGTGAGCAGTCGTTTGCATTCGCTTACAGAGGCCTTCAGTGTCATTAGTCTCATTACACGTGGATGAAGGACACAGGTTTGTTTGGAACAAAGCAGAGGTCCTTGTTAAGGAACAGATGCACAAATAGTGGTTCTTCGAAACGTGGTCCTCCACAAAGAGTTCGTGCGTATCGATATTGACTCAGTATACCAAATATTGGGACAGAATGATCTCGATTAAAGTGGAAACCGCAGTTCAAAAGAAAGCACTCAGTTGCTCGAACATGAGCAGAAGAACCGACATTAGCCAGATTGCTAACGTTACACCTATGCACCAATCGCATTGCGAGAATCACAACAACTTGTCAGTGACGAGCACCTAAGCACGAATTCACGGCACTCTGATTAAGGGGGGGGGTCTAAGCTGAAAAAGTCAAAAATTGTGTTTTTCAAAGCTCGATATATATGTCTAGATATAGTCATATCTTCATGAAATTTTGCAGGGAATATCATTATTTATCATGCAAATAATACATGATAGAGAAATAAAGATGTGTGTTTATTATTTTTTTATTCACATTATAGTAAGGTACCTAAATTAGTGATGCCGAATTTATTGCTGTGGCATTCTGGGCCCCATCAAAAAAGTATTCTATTGTGCAGTTATTTAGATATGGTTCAGCTTTAGAATAAACTATACTCAACTCTGTATATGAATTAGATCTTCCAATACTGATGTTCAGATTTGCATAAAAATCTGAACTGAGGTTAAAAGTTGACCACAAGTGTAGGACACTTAAAAGTAGTTTATTCCATGCAGAAACTAAAGAAGAGCATCTCCTCCAAATTTTATTGACTTTGAACTATTAGTTTTGAAATTATCCTCAGAACGCTGACGTAAGAGTGAAAAAACGCAGTTTTGAGAAAAATGGCTTTAAAGTTGAAGTACATGAAAAAATGAGTCATTTAAACTTTTCTGGCATATCGGTAATTTATACAAATTTTGATGATGTCCCATGATATGATTTACATAGAAAAACTAACCTGGACTACTCATGGGCACCAGCAAGATAGAAATCTTGAAGCCGCTACTTTCCGTGCTCGTCGTTCAGCTGGCAGAAGTCCGGCAGCTGCTGCATGAATTCTTGTTCTGTCTAGTTCATTACAACACAGTCTGGTATAGAACCCAGTAGTCATCCCCAACTTCTAAAGTATAGGCAGCCTACCCCTCTCTCCATCATTGAAAACAACTACAGCATCAGTAACTGCAAGAGTAAGCCTTTGCCTTCCAACAAAACCAGCCTTTGGACACCTTTGCCAAACTAAATTGTGAAGACTTTCATTTGTATTTTGTGTTCCTCCATGGGCACACTTTGATAGTAATGTCTCAATGGCAAGAATTTCAAAAAGAGGCCTGATAGTCTTGCACACATAAGGAGGGAGAGCATTCCTGTCAGAGTCTCCAGCTGGCTGCTTCTTGGAAGGACACCAGTCTCCACAGTTAGCGTGATCACGGTTGCGGTGCTCCCATATGGCCCATATATCTTTTTGCATCTGAGGCACATTATTAGTATTTCTTCGTATTGCAGCACCATAATGTCCTTGAATGTTTAACATTGCCTTCTTTGTCAGACAACCTCGTCCACCGATTCCTTGCACACTCTTGCCATTGTGTATAAAGGTCTCTTTTTTCAGCTCAGTTACCTTATTGGTCAGGTGTCGCCCCATTCTCTTCTGCACGTGCCCACAACACTTAAGGTTGAAAATGTTCACATCATTATACACAGGTGGTTTTGCATTTGATACTGATGCATAAGATTTACTGTCACCATCTCCAAGAAAAGAAACATAGTGCAGTCCATATAATTGCTCACTTCGGCGGAATATTTTTAGCGCTCCAGTTGGCTCCATGCTGCCTGCCGACCCACTGTGATTCTTGTCGCAGTCTTGTACATGTGAACACTTCCATGCCTAAAACTCGGTCTCAGTTTTATTCCTCTGGTTTGTTGCACAAGCGTTGCAATAGTTTGACAAAACTGAGATGTCGAGAACCTTCGAGTTATGGCCATCCACTGTGAGAACTGTGACCACGCCATTTCTGCTCTGGAACCCCCTTCTCTGCCAAGTGCCATCACAAGAGACTGTTATATTTTCTCCTTTCTTTTCCTTGATCTCATCTGCAGCTCTCTGCATACTTTCTAGGGCAATGGCTTGTGTAGCATGAAGAATCTTCTTATGAAGAGCAACTGTTTTTATGCATATTTGAAGGCATGTTCATATTTCCAAGAAATTTCTTGCCATGTTTATAATTCCTTCCTATGGCAATGAGAGCAACTGGATACCTTTCATTGACTTCATAAGTCTTCCTACATTTTGCAGAGGACATAAATACTTCATGCTGACACTGACAGTGGAAAGTGAACTTTGAGGCCAGTGAGCTTCTGTTTTCAGTCACATAAGATTCGTTCTTGCCCAGAGGCTGTCTACACTGAGGGCACAACAAACTGTTTACAAAGTTAACAAGAAGTTTAACATCAATAAATCGAAAGCCTGTTAGCCCCTCATTTGTATCAAACTCAAACTGTGAATTTTGAGATCCAAGTTTGGTGCTAGAAGCAGATGTCGAAGGTTTATTTACATCAAACTTATCTTGTGTTTCTGGCACAATATCATTATTGTCATCAATTCCAGCAGCTTGTTCTTTCTTCTTAGAGTAGCGATTGCCACAAAATCTACGTTTCCTTTGTGTATAAGCTGTCTTTTCTTTTCGTTTTCCCATAATTAGCGAATATGTGCTCACAAAATCGTCACATACACGAGTGCCGTGTTTTGAAAAATCCAAGATGGCGGCTTACTAGCAACCGATTAGACGAGCTCGCTGATTGGTTCAAATGGCTCTTCTCTCACTTTGAGAACCAATGAAAGTGGTTCTTTTAAACTGAAAGGTAATGCGGAATTACCAGATAGGCCTTACATAGCCGAATCGAATGCAACTTGAATGAAGTTTCTAGGATGTCTACAAGTCGAGATGCAACATTTTAAAATTTACGCATATATGATAAGCTTGAATACATAGAAAAACAAGTCACACATGCTTCACAAAATGCTGAAATACTGCATTACAAAAGATGCTAACAGAAAAATAGTTCCCAGATTTATATTCTAGGATGACTGCAGTTGACATTTGTATGGTTTTCCAAAACGGTCAAAAATTACGATTTTTCCGATTTTTCAGCTTAAACAATGGGAGTAAAATATTTGCAAATAGCATGGCTGGGCTGGAATAAAATCAGTCCGGATTGTTACAGAACAGCCACCCAAAGTGGTCAATCGATTCACCAGTCCAGATGTGCACATCAACTCTGGTGATCGTACCAATGAGGAGGTACTGCAAATAGCCTCAATACCCGTCGGATTTCACGAAGTTTCAATCATTGATCGAGTCTGCATGACGTATAACGATGCGATGTGGTGCTGTATGAACTACAAATCATTTACATTTTATCCATGGTGCATGCAAAATATTGCTCGCATCTGCGCAGCGCACCGAGTGCACAATACTGAAATCCGACAGTTGACGTTTGGAAGAAGGTTCCTCGGTGTCTGTAGAACTCGAGATTCTAACAGAGAGAACTAGGAAGGGTGAAAGGCAGAAACTACTTTTTGATCCAGAATCAACCTCCTACCCTATTTGACGGAAATGTGCTAAAAACTACCCAGACTGATTGCTATCTTTCGATTCCCACAATTGCATCGGATGTAACAAGTCGATGCACGCCATGAAAATCAGAAGCCTGATGCTAGAATTTCAACTCACCATGGTCCATGGGTGCCAAGCCATCGAACCAGTACCTCCACATGATGGTCATCGGATAAACGTTGTCCAACAAACTGGAAGATGAAATATAAAAAACAGGGAAATTAGTTTGTTGTGTAATTAGAGTGGCATCTGTACAACTCATACACGACGAAACATGAGCATCGCAAATGAAGAATAGATGCTGCTTGCGTGTATATAATGAAACAGCGCAGTGAAGTACGATAGTTTTGTACATACTAATAAGTACCCAACGTTCCCTAGACAGCAAATCTACGGTTATATTCTGGGAAAGACAATATTAAATTCGGTGTAGCAACGTACCGTGTGTGGATTGGACAAAAGCAAAGCCAGGTGTCGTCGCCTTTCATCTGGCGAAATTCTTGGTGTTGGAGATTTTGCTGTGATACTTGCTGATGAGCGCAGCGTAGGCTTTGTGGGTGATCGCATCAGTGGAGCACACAAGGCTGATTCATCACCATTAGTAGACACATTGGAGTGGGATTTCGGTGTCAAATTATTCGTGTCACCATAGCATAACATCTTGCACAGCCTAAGTCGATGATGGATTACACATTGGGTTCGGCGATCATAAAAGTCAACGCGACGGACTGGAAAGATAGATCAGGCGGGAAACTTTGAGTGAAGTTGGTGAGGGCGCTAGGAGCTAGAAAGCTGACACAGGGAAACAAAAATCTATTGCGGATGTCGCAATGTCGTTCGACACCCTTTGACTAATGTGGCATTTACATCACCAAGACAACGAAATATCGTTTATAAACCTGCAGGATGTAACAGTGAAATTTAGTGGCAATCTAAACTGTCGCTGCTGCTATGCAAGTCAGTCATAATTCGATTACCGAAATGTGGAGGATAGACTCGCCGTCCGGCACTCAGTTACAACGAAAATACTCGTCGGAAGGGTTAAATGCTTTGTGATATTCAAGGCTAGGCCCACTTAATGACTAGCAGGAAACGAGTAATCTTGTGAACGTGAGTGATAGAGGGTCATACGACATATGTTCCGAACAGCGTAGGCAGCGCAGGTCAGCACAAGGTTGAGCGTGACACCAGGTTTATTGCAGAATCCCAAACGTTAGGTCGGTCAGTTAACTACGGTCTGCATACCGAAGTGCAGTGAATCCGGCTGACTTAAAATATGGTGTTATGATATTTGGAAAACTGAGAACAAGTTGGCAAGGTCAATCCAAGAAGAAACGATAAGAAAGCCAAGATCATTAGGTGGTACAAACCAAAGCCTGAGATAGAGAATTGAGTGTAAGCATGCCACTGAATTCATTAGTACGCTATACCCGACAGCGTAGGCAGCCACCGATACGCCCCAACGTTAAGTCACATAAAACAAGGTAACATGGCAAACAGTTCTGTAAGTTTCGTCCGCCGGTTTAGCTGCAATATGGATTGAACATCCAGTTCTATTTGATTAGGCGCAGTATTGACAGAAAAGATGATGGGACAGCCAGTTAGCAGGCATGCGAAGAACAATTTCAACGGTCATCCGAATGACACCAGAGCGTCTGTTGGCAAGTCTTACATGGTTCAGCCATACATGAGTAATAACCTTCCGGCATAAATGATCAAACGTTCAACAGCTTCAATAAAAATGTATCATATCACGGCCCTCTAAGTTAGAGGCGGCCAACGATTATAGATCCCAATATCCACAAATATGACAACGGCTTCGGAAGTCTTGCAGTGACCTCTTCAGTGATGCGACCACCGGTTTGACTCAGCCACCAACACAAGTAAACCGATCGGTAGATTCGAGTGGCTGTTTGGTAATCGCAAGAAATAGTGGTATGGCAACCTAGGCCTGCAAAAGTAAGCGGTACTTTTAAGGTGCGAAGCCCATTGCGAATTGTGTGCGCCTTATGACTACCTATCCAGCAGAGATCGCGTAGCAGCTAAGTTAGAACTAGAAGCGGGTTAAACTGTTCGCACATTCTAATCCGGATAGTTGGCAACCTAACAGAACTTCTAAGCAAGTAAAACTGTAGGTCAAAGTAAGCTTAATGAACGCTAACGGGTTTATTTTCAGCGTTCACACCACCACTACAAGTATACTGGATGATAACATCAATATAATGTACACGAGTAGGGATAAAAGTGGGAGTTATGCACTGCTGTCCCTACAACAACCGCCCGCGCAACATGTTTATGACTTTCGCTGGGTCAACAAGCAAACGTGAGAGATAAGGTTAGATAGTATTACGATACGATTAAGTGCGGAAGAACAAAATTTAAAATTTTATACGCGTAGAAGAGAAGGGGAGCGTTTTTAAAAACTAAGGGTGCAGTGGATGAAATCGGTCAGTTAGTACCTTAGAAGAATTACTGAAGACATTACTATGTCTGGAAATGAGTAAATAAATTAAAGAATCTCTAGACAAGCCACTGCAACTGGAAATGTGTTCTGTCAATAGTAATAATGCAGTCTTTCTAGAGCAGTCCAGGAAAAATGACAGAGAAGCAGTATAAGCAATAGGGAATGATGTTGGTGGTTACGGAATTGAACATTAAAGTACGGGCAGTGAAAGCACCTTAAATCTGAAGTCATTCAGACGTTTTCTGATTTCCTGTAAAGTTTTGCAGATATGAGCGGAACAAAAGAGATTTTGGAACAAAAGGATACCAAGATACTTGACAGTGGCTGATCTAGATGTGTGATTTTCGTTCACAATCAGAATGAGGGAGACAGCTATGTGAGACTGCAGCTTATCGCCACGAAGAACAGAAAATATTACAACAATGCGCTTATAAGCGATCAGTGTACGATGAAGACCACTCCACCAGATCTCTTAATCCACGTTCAAGCAATGAGGAATCCTAAATTATTGCATCCAAAGTTACTTATTACCATTTCGATCAGAAAAAGATGGACAAGAAAACTATGGCATACTCAATCTGCGATTAGTGTGGGGAACAGTCATTAGTACGCTGTATAGAGAGTCGAGATATAGCGATTAAACATAGAAACAAATCTCTCAATCATAATCTTTAAAGAAAAGCATAGCCACACACCAGTGCGATCAGGCCAAGGGAACCCAACATGATATTCTGTTAGAAAGCATAATGACAATCAAGTTGCCTTGTAAAAAGCAAAATTGGCCGGTGCACCCACCGCTGAGACATAACCCAGATAGACCAGTTCGGCTAGATTGGGCGGCCTAAGAGTGACGGGCATGAAATGCTTAGAGGTAGTGCAGGGTAGATAAAATTCGGCACTGTACCGATGCCTCGTTCCCATGTAACACAAAGCGGCTGTATGCGAGCTGGAGCGCCCAAAACGATGAAGGAGGGGATGTGGACCTTGGACAGGGTGTTTATCCCAATGCCCTGAGCCACCACGCCATAGATTAAAGACAATGAAAGTTGAATGAGAACCATTAATGCTCTCACGGTGTGCTTTTCGCTGTTTTAAGACCGTGAATGACAGCTGACAACCGCGAATTTGAGGATAATGCTCTTTGCACAAAAATGCGCCGAACATAGGAGCAAGAGTGAGTCACTACCATCTCCACCTATTGACGAAGTCGTTCAAGTCGGGCGCCGGAAGTGCCAGCTCTCGATGGATCTAGTCGATGGTGGATGCTGTGATCTCCATGTTCTAGGTGTGCCTACGTGGTCCGACGAATAACTCACACACTAGGTACGCCGATATGTTCTTTGAAATTTGTGCACAAAACAAATATCTAGTTGATTTGAAGGCCATTTGAAGTATGGTAGGCCCCAAAAGTCTAGTCCCTCTACTGTGTTAATGCGGAACAAAGGGCCATTCCTTCGGGTGTTATGTAGAGCGCACGAACTGTCCAATAGTAGATGTTAGTCTATCTCAAAATGTCTCACCCACTCACATGCATGTCGGTACATGTGTACTTACCAGCGTCGTCCATTGTGGAAACGCTGGATGGCGCAGATGGTTGAGTTGGAGTCAAACTACGGCACGCCAGAGGGCAAGTTCACCTATCAATACATACGGTGCAACGGGTATATATATATATATATATATATATATATATATATATATATATATATATATATATATATATATATATATATATATATATATAATGCTGGTGTGAGTGTGGAGGCGGGAGAGACTATGGTGCCCTGAGGATTGCGGTGCCCCGATCCTGACAGATGGTCTACCCACTGCTGCGACTATTGTGTTGGACTCATGTCCTTCTCCTCGCCTCCTCATGTCGACCGCTAGGTGAGAGTTGGGTTATGCCCTTCTCCCTGCTAAGATCCAGGACACCAATCCGCATGAGTCAGTGAACTGACCATGTGCTAGACCCGCTGCCTTTCGGGTGTACATTTAATCGAAAGCTTTGGCTGAGGACCAAAGTAGTTCTCCTGTCAGTATGCTACTCCATCCTCTTCGGAGGTTAGGAAGTGGACGATGACCCTCTTACCGTAAAACTTAGCCATAGGAGACAACAGATCCATGGGTTATAAGTTTACTGCTCGATTGACGTAGAGTACGAGCACCACGCATTGCAGAAAAGCAGCGGCAAGTGCGGAAGCGGCCAAAACCGATGGGTTGTACTCCATCGACATCATGCGTATGGTGCTGTAGCATATGCGATCGCGAGAACCTAAGTGAGGCAGGCCTAGTGAGCCATGAGCAAGGCCACTCGGGGCCAGCACCGAAGTGACGAAGACTTCTGCTGAGAACGTAGGGAGAACCGATGCAGCGTTGGCAGGTACGCTGCATTAGATTTACTAACCGCGTGTTTGCATGCTGAGTCTCTTTATTTCAGGTGGTGGGTTTGCTATATTGTCCTAGTGCAATTTTATCCCATCTTAATGTCTAGCTCTATTATCTTCTATGAACTTGCACGTTGTTAAACTACTTTGGTTAACTTCGATAACGTTTCCGCGCTTGTGGCATTTTCTTAATACATATTTTCTGACGTCTTGAGCTTATCGCGGATTTGTTCGTAAAAAAAATTCTAAATGCTCATTTATTGAAGAGTTATCCACCGTATATGTATGCATTATTCGAGTTATTTGATTTGATTTCGCGTCTCAAGTGACTGAAGGTTGTTTGATATCCCCGGTGTGGCTGCGCATGATGTGCATCTTGACAAGGTGTCTACCCATCTACCACCTTCCACCTCGATTATTGGCTCCAGGAGACAGTTGGCCGTTGCTGGATGGGACGGGGTGCACGGTCTTCGTGGTCGTGTTAGGCTCAGAGAGGTTCCATCCAGTGTGGAGCGGACTACGGTCAAGGCGCCGTCTTGTGTACTCCTGAAGTCCCAAATACAGCAAACTTGTTTTTGCCTGTGAAGAAGGAATGACCGGCTCCGTTGATGAAACGTGGCTCCCATCCACATGCCTCCCGGTCTTATTCCTTTGGGTTTACACCAGATATGTGGTGTGTAACTGGAGCTGTGGGTGGTTCAACCCAAGCCATCCATGATCCCTCTGTAGGCGCAGGCGTTTAGGGTAAACCCGAAGGAATAAGACCAGGAGGCATGTGGATGGAAGCCACGTTTCATCAACGGAGCCGGCCCACACTCCTTCAAAGGCAAACACAAGCACGCTGTTAGCTTACCGGAACGATGCCCATCCGTTACCGGTA